ACTGAGTGAACCTGCGTGGAAGAACATTGGAACTCTCTGAAGATGATGTTTAAGGAAACGTGTACAACTGTTCCAGGAAGAAGGAAGAGACAAGACAAGAAATGGCTGTCAACGGATACCTGGAAGCTAATCAAGGAGAGGAGGATTGTGAAAGAGAAGATGACTCAATGCAAAAATAGCAACATAAGGAGAGGCCAAGTTCAGTGTATACTGCACTCAACATAGAAGTGAAGAGTGCTAGGGAAGACCAAAGACAATTTTACGACACACTGGCAACTAGAACAGAACAGGCTCACCAAAGGTAAAATATACCTCAGGACGGTACATCAGATAACCAAGTGTCTACCTGATTAGAGATCAACCCATATGATGGAACCAATAAAAAACGCTCAAAGGAACCAGATTATCAAGGAGGAGAAACAAATAAAATAATGGGCTGATCAGTTTAAAGTACTATGTATCAACTATCACCTGCAACTGCACCGGAAATACACCATCATCAACAGAACGCACGTAAGTGCCAGTGGACACCGGTCCTTCAACGAAGGCTGTAATAATGAATGCAATCAAGCTACTGAGAGTCAGCAGCCAAGGCAAAGGAAGCAGATAGAAGTCCTCCCGAAGCACCAAAAAATGTACCCAGAGACGACGGCAGGTGTTCTCATACCATTACTGCAAAAGATTTGGAGAGAGGGAATGTACATATCGATTGTAAGAAAGGCCACCCTGTCAAGCTACCGAAGCATGGAGACTTGGGCCTATGCAAGAACTGGTACAGAATCATCCTCTTGCTTACATCAATTAAAATACTAAGTCAGATCATCCTGGAGAGAATAAAAGATGCACTGGATACAGCACTCTGCCAATAGGAACAAGATGGATTCAGGAAAGGCAAATCATGTGCTGATCAAATTGCAACTCTACGTAACGTCATCGAACAGATCAATGAATGACAGTCAAACTTGTACATCAACTTCATCGACTTCGAAAAGGTGTTCAATAGACAGCGTTGACAGTGAAGTAATTTGGAGACTGCTTCAACACTATGGAGTGCCTCAAATCTTTATCAACCCCATTTCAACAGCTAGATGACAATGCCACGTGTCAGGTGATCCGCAACGGAAAACTCAGCGAAGCGTTCGAAGTGAACACAGGAGTAAGACAAGGCTGTCTATTATCACTGATGATATTTTTAATTGCGGTAGGGAGTCAGAAGACAAGAATCGATAAGAAGACTCTAGGATATCTGAATTTCGCAGATGTCAAGCGAGCTCGAAGAATCACAGGGGATAATCAACAAACCGGCAGCAGTAGCTGGTAGAGAAAACCGGACTCCGGGTGAACATAGGGAGGACGGAGGTGATGAAGATAATCAACCATCACCACCACCACCAACAACAACCAGCATCAATCACCATCAACCGGAGAGAATTAAGAGAGTTTATCTCCTTCACTCACTTTACCTCACTTATCTGGGAAGCATCGTTTCAACTACAGGCTAGCGGAACGGATGAAGATGTTAAAGCACGCCAGAATCAGAAAGACAAGATACGCCTTCATCAAACAGAAATCCGTTTAGAAATCTTCTGCACTACGCCACAGCATAAACAACAAGATTCGAATTTTCAACACAAACGACAAGTCAGTTAGTTCTTCTACACGGGTCATAAACTTGCACTACGTGTCACCAAAAGCATTTCCAACAGGCCGCTGCACACTTTTATCGACAGCTGTCTTCCCTGTCTCCATAGTGAAAATCAAATGGCTGGCCAGAAAGAATTAGCAAGAATGAACTGTGCAGTGGAACAAACCAGCCAAGAGCTGATCGATCAAGAAATATGTAGCAGAAATTGGAGATGGACCGGGCATACATTGATGAGACCGTCGAATGACATCGCGCGCAATGCAGGCCTTCACTCCAGTGAAATCCCAATGGTATCTACCTACTATTACTGATGATATTCCTAGTTGTGGTGGATTGGATTATGCGGAACACCATGCGTGGGGAGTGAGGAGACTCTAGAAGATCTGGACTCTGTGGACGATTCATGTCTAATATCACATAAGTTCCAAGACCTGCAGGCGAAAACCAACAAACTGGCGGAAGAATTAGCAAAGACACGAATTCAAGTGAACATAGAGAGGGCGGAGGTGATAAAGATAACCAACCAACCACAGCCAGCACTAATCACTACCAACGGAATAAATTTGAAAGTAGCCATTTCCTTCACTTATCTAGGAAGCATTGATTCAACTACAGGCTAGTGGAACGATGAAGATGCCAAGATCAGAATTGGAAAGGCGAAATAGACATTTATCATCACTCTGAAATCAGTGTTGAGTGCAGAAGATTTCCAAACTCAGATGTTCGACACCAATGTCAAGTCAGTCAGTTCTTCTATATGGATCAGAAATTTGGAGCATCACGAAGAACATTTCCAACAGGTAAATGTAGACTTTTAACAACAGCTGCCTTCGCTGGTTTCATATTGCAGATCAAATAGCCGGAAAGAATCATCAACAAGAAACTCTGTGAACCAACCAACCAACGACCCATTGTTGAACAGATATGCCGGAGAAAATGAAAATGGGTCGGAGATATGTTGAGAAGACCATTGGGTGACAGCGCGCGCCAGACTCTCGAGTGGAACCGGAGTGGGATGTGTATTCAAGGATGATATAGAGCAGATAGTGTGTGTACGAATATCTCGATAGGTCTAAAATACTCCATGAAGCCCAACACGGTTTCAGGAAAGGGAGATCCTGCGTCACTAACTCATTATCAGCTTGGGACGACTGGACATCGTGCTGGGATATGAATGTTCTAGTTCTTGTGATCTTTCTAGACTTTGAGAAGGCGTTTGATACTGCTCACCATGACCTTCTCCTACACAAAATAAGCCACGTAGGTATAGGTAAACCACACCTGTCATGGTTGAAGGACTACCTAACTGAAAAGCAATTTTGCACCAGGGTCAATCGAGTCCGATCATCTTGGCACAGCTCGTCATCAGGAGTGTCGCAGGGTTCTATCGTGGGACCACTGATGTTCTTGATTTTTATCAGTGATCTACCATGCCGTCTGAGCTGCCCGACTCTTCTATTCGCTGATGACGTGAAGATATGGAGGGCGATAAAGTGTCCGGAGGACTCAGATAGACTGCAGGCAGATCTAAGGCTTCTGGAAGACTGGGCGGTCGCCAGTGGCATAACTTTCAACCTGAAAAAGTGCAAAGTAGTGAAGTTACGCACCTGCAGACTGCAGAATGCAAGTTACACCCTGTCCAATGAAAGCTTGTCCTGCTCAACGTCGGAACGTGACTTAGGTCTAGTTCTAACGGAGAAAGCGTAAATTACACGTTGGATGTAGCGAGGGCATATGCGGTCATACACTTTACACATAGACAATTAGGTGCACTCACTCCTGAGCTCTTTCTAAGGTTGTATAAAACGTACGTCAGACCGCACCTTGAAAGTGCATAATATCATTGCACCCCCACTGCTTAGAAGAGACGCCAACCTCTTGGAAAGAGTCCAACGACGGGCAACAAAAGGGGTGGTTGGTCTCCGAAATAAACCATATGATGAAAGGCTGAAGAAATTAGGCCTATTCACACTTAGTTACCGTCGTCTTAGGGGGGAATTAATTACTACCCACAAAATAACAAATGATCAGAATCACCCAAACAAAGGTGTTCTGCCATTGAGTAGGTATGGGCTTCTTCGTGGAAATCCTAGAAGGATAGTTCATCAGAGGGCAAGGACCCGGGTGCGCTCCCACTTCTTTTCCGTGCGGGTTTGCCGTCCCTGGAATTCCTTACCGGCAGATGTAGCTATGGCACCATCTGTGGACGCCTTTAAGCGAAGGCTGGACAACCATGCAGCGACACAAGGACTGCATCCAAATGGCCTATCCCCTTAAAATCGCATACACCATTCAAAGGTAGACAATTAAACTGGTCGTTTTACTTCTTTACATTCTCTTCCGTCTTACTCTCCTGACAGCTTTAACTACACCTATTATTATCATTATTACCGGTATATATATATATACCGGTTGACTGACTGTTGTTACGTTTTCTTATTCTTTTTCTGTCTGTTAGTCTGAATACCTTCACTAATTATATCTATTATTATCATTATTATCTCTTTTCTATTGACGACTATACAGAAGGACCAACTGGTGAAAGGATCAACTCCATTCACAGTAGTAACAGTCTTAACACACCTCATTCTACAAACGACACACAATTAATCCCTGCACTACTCCTTTTGGAGTCTACCGAAGCTACGACAGTCGAGTGGCGGGACGAGCTACGCAGACGTTTACCGAAGATCAGGAACCTCTACATCACAATCAAGAGGCGAGCACAAAGAAATCAAATTGGTTTATACTAGCTCGTAAAAACGATAATGGATATTGGAATTACCAACTTTTACAGAATTCCTCGTATAAAGTGGTTGCATCTGAATGCGTAACCATCAGTTTTATTTTATTTTTTAAATTTTATTTTGATTACAGCTTGATGCCACACCGTATTTTTGGTACAAGTATGGAATTTTCAGCATGTGATATCGGTAGCCCAAATTTACAGGCCAACCATAGATATCGGGTGTGCGTCGGCAGGGGATCGAACCCCGTACCATGTGCATGGTTGGCGAGAGTCCTAACCACTGTGCCCGGTAATACTTTTTCAAAGTCATTATCTCTCCAAATATGCACGTTTTATTCCCCTCTATCAACCCACTTTCCACATAGAAGTCAAAAACCAAATCAAGGAGACATTTTAAACTAGGATTATGACTAGCATCCATTTGTAACGCTGAGCTATGTGTTTGGGCAAATCAAGGTCATCTGACTTTGGTGTCTATTGTTTACTCTTGCCCCTATTCCTAAAATTTGTCGTAGGTCTTGCCTCCAACCTGAGAAGTAGAAACGTTTTGCAAACTGAGTCTAGAAAGCGCACAAAAGGATACTCATTGTAACGGCCGCAATATCTGAAATATACGCTACATGGACGAAGTGATTTTTGTTACCGACCCTGCAAGTATTTTACTGAATGCTGCATATGAAGCTGTATCTGGATATGAGAATATTAACCCAAAGCGCCTCGGATCTTGTGAAGTCACCAAGTTATATCCGTGTAAACCGTCTAAAGACGTTTGTTTCGTCCTTGCACGTTTCGAAGGAAAATGCTACGAACATCTTCGTTCATTGGGAGTATCAATTTATGGTCCACAAGTTATTCTGCACTATGTAAGAGAGAATAAAGCTCTGCCGAATCTCCCGTATCCTCTGTTCTCGACAGCCCTCATGAATGCCACTGCCACCGTTACGTCCGTTACCGGAGTTCAGAGGAAGCAGATATTTGACTCGATACAAATGCTTCATGGGACTGTGTCGCGTGACCTAACAGATAATGTTAATGTTGTAGTCACAGCCAAGGTGGGATCCAAGAAGTATTTGGTTGGTGCTAGCAGGAATCTTCATATCTTACTTCCTGAATGGATCTCCGAGGCATGGCGGCTTTCGGAGATTCAAGATCCTATCGATATGATGTTACCAATTTACACAGAGAAGTTCCGTGTCCCAATATTTTCACAGCTTGTTATTTGTGTTTCGGGCTTATCTGTGGAGGAAAGGAAAGAGGTCGCTGATTTGGTTACTAAACATGGTGGAAGTTACTCTGGGGTTATGAAAATTGGCGAAACGACACACTTAATTACGCAACAAGCCTCAGGAACAAAATATGTTCATGCAAAGAAGTGGAAAATACAGATAATAAATATTCAGTGGCTCATTGATTCAGTTAGCAGAGGGTATGCACTTGATGAAGAAGAATATCGAGTAGACCAGTCAAATGCAAAATCATCAACACCAACATCAAATACATCTCAAAACAGTATTTCATTCAGAAACATATCAGCTATTAGTTATATAGGTGATGTTCATACAAAAGTTGATGAAACGAAAACAGAATTTAGTCATCGGGAAAGTGTTCAAGTTAGTAATGCTAAAAGTAATCTTCGCATCCTTTCTGGCTGTGTAATTATGCTTTCTGATTGCAGCAAAGATGAGGTTCAGTCGTACTCACTGGTCATCAAAGAACTAGGCGGTAAATTATGTACAGAGTTGCACGATCAGGTAACAGAAAATTTAACCCATGTTATCGTTGGAGATGTTTCTAGTTTCAATTTTAAGTCAAAAGAGAAGGATGTTATGTATGTCCGAGGGGAATGGCTGCTTGCATGTCAGAGCTCTGGTCTGCGTCTTCCAGAGGATAACTATTTGATAAAAGATGCAGATACAGACTGTGAAAAGACGGAAGATAACGTAGATAATGCTACTATGACAAACATGGATGCAACTGACCTCCAATTAATTAACCAGTACTTTGCAGACGGTGGTTTTGCAGAAGCTGATGATTTCCAAAATGACTTCGATGAGACAAGACAACTGACCAAAGTCATTGATGAAAAGTCAACCCAACGTGAGAATATAAACGATGCTAAGCAAACAGATGTTCCCGAAGTATTTCAAATTAGTGGTTGCTTTTCAAAGTTGTCATTCTCTTTTCATCAAGAGTTGAGTAGTGAAGATGTTTCCAAGTATTCTAGTGTAATAACAACATCGGGTGGTTCAATATCGCGTGGCGAGCAATATGCCGACTTTGTGGTAACTCCGTTTTTTGTCTTTCAGCTCCCTGTGGTACCAAAGTCCTGCCAATTTGTTACTACAGCTTGGATTTCACATTGTGTACATGAAAAAAGTCTGTGCATACAAGACATTAGCAGGGAATATGCGTTTAAACCTTTGATAAGAAAACCAGATCCACCACCTTTATCAGGGTGTGTTATTTCTCTTAGTGGTTTTGTTGGAAATGATAGAAATTTATTAACTTCATACGCACAAGCCTTGGGAGCAATTGTTCAAGAATGCTTTCTTCGCAAGTCAGTAGTATCCAGAAACCTCTCGGCCAGTACTCACTTGGTGGCAGCCAAGCCAGATGGGCGGAAGTGGCCTGCGGCTAAACAGTGGGGTTTACCAGCTGTAAATCGTATGTGGCTCTATAAGTGCGCTGAAATGTGGTCTCTGGTTGATGAGTCGAAATTTCTGGTCTCTGATGCAACTGATACGTCTGATGGCGGCAACAATAAAGACACTGCAGCGAATTCGAAGACTGTTGGCCCACCAGATATCATGCCAGAGAGAAAAAGCTTAAAAGAGATACAATTCAATAACCCTACCAATTCAGAGAGTAATGATAGTCTTCGTAAATCAATGAATGGCAAACCTAATGAGAGTTTCGAATGCAATTTAGCCCTCAGCAATCTAGCTGAAACAATGCAAACACCTGATTGGGTTCGTAATGCCAACGGAAGTCATATGCCTAACTCATCGCATGATCTTTCAAATTCTTCTTACAGACCATCTCCACCTTTGTCTGTACAAGTGTCTAGATGCTTAAAAAATGCAGTCAGAGAAACATCAGCACTACCCAAACGAAAATTGGAGCTTTCAGGTAATTATTATACACTTTAACCTATCATATATCCGCTTTTATTATTTATTTATTTTATTTATCTTCTTGTATCTTCCCGTGTGCATCTTGTAACGTTAAATTACTAATGATTAGTCTCGAGCTCTTATTGACAGTCTTAAGTAGTGTGTAGTCAGTGTAGAATAGTAACGTTAGGTTGTATGTTGGAAAGTAGTATGGGTCCAGATGATTTTAATCAGTCTTAAGGTATGTAACGAGAAGTATAGCACCATGCTAAGACTTTTGCACCAAAACATGCGTCAATGAAATATTCCCTAGATTTAACCGTTGACGATTACTTTGAGTCATTCTCAGTGATTCATTAACTTCCTCAGTTGGCCTGTACAATATCTAAGATCTTTTCGTACTCACTGTTAGATCTCGATTAAAATTTAGCTAGCATTTGTATAAAAGTGCAGATATTTACATTCAAGTTAAGGAATATTAAAATATGCATTTATTTTTGCTCTAAAGCGTACCATTTTTTCCTGATTGCCTATGCAATGATGTAATGATGGCTTTTTAGAATATTTTTCTGCTACCAATGTTGATTTTTCTCATTTGATAAATATTGACATCATTAGTTCATTGTAATATATGTTGAAATAATTTCATATTAATGCAATTGATTTAAGAGTAACTCACAATTATTATCCTGCTCTTGGTTTAAAGTTGTACGATATGCAGTCTATTATATTAATTTGCCAATATCGAATTTAGAGGTAGATTTTATTTTAATGATACTCACTTTTTACACAAGTGTATTCTTTTTATTCCTTCACGTTCCCAGTGGAACATACGGCTTCAAGCTAGTGGCTTGAAGTTTCTGTAGCAGTGTTTATTTTTACAGGATGGGGTTGCTAGCCTCATGTCCAACCTTTTCTCTTCACCAGCTTTATTTCTGGCCTAGCAAAGTTAGGGAGTGCGTCGGCCGGGGATCGAACCCCGGACCATGTGTATGGTCGGCGAGCGTCCTAACCGCTATACCACCGACGCACTACACAAGTGTATACTTCACTTTAATGTGAGTTATTGTCAAGAGATGCGGTAACTTCTAACAGTTAACGTTATAAGAGTATTATGGTGCTTCAGATTAATAAAGGCGTCCATGTACACGATTCCATTGCTATTTATAGTCCATTATACAAATGAGCATTTAGCCCACGCGCTGATTCTTTCATGGTTTTCAAGAATCGAGATCTCCCCCTTATAATCCACAGAATTAATGTTATATATGTATCCTAAACTAGTTATTATATTTCATAGCTTACAATTCTGTCTTCAGTGTGTCATTTAATACGGCATTTACTCCAACTGTGTATTGAGTTTCGGCATTTATTTTACCTAAAGAACAGTTTATATTACGTCTTTTTCTGTTTGTGTGTCATATCTTAGTACATTTTAGTCAGTAATTCTTACTTCCGTGATAGCCATCCTTAATTATACAAAGACTAGGAATACTCCATTCTTAAGAGCTTGGAGAGGAACTATTATACCGTGAGTATTGTAAGTGCATGTTTAAGAACAGTCTATTCTAACCAAGTGACACAATATATGTGTAAAAATTGGACACTGTGGTAGTAAGTAATTTCATATTAGTTTGTTTATTAGATGTATCACACAGTGAAACAGTATTATTTACTGGATGACACAGTTTCGAACAAAGTTTATTGTTCATAATCATTTGGTCAATTCGAAACTTGAGTTTTATAGTTTCCTCTATTCTTTCCAATACGTCCTCGTAGGCGTGGTAGTAGAATTTTCCAGATATCTGGGTGGACAGGTGTTGAATCATTCCTATTACACGTATTCTCTTCAGTTGATTCGATAAACAAAGCTTCTGTTATCAATCTCTCCCTCCACCCTGTCAGTTGCATTAGATTTTAAAACTGTCATCTTATCCCATCCTATTCTACGGTTGTGTATATTTGCATATGGTGCTACGGCTGAAGTATTCTCTAGACTTCTTATCTTACTCGGGTTAACTAATCTAGTTTTTGCTGTTAGGTTTTTATGCTCGGCTAGTCTGACACACAAGTGACACAATTATGTCCAACGGATTTGTCCAGGTGACAGCTTTTTATTTAAATTCTTTTCGCTCAATTTTCACTACACTACCTCAGTCAATGCGTATATAGGATGCTACCTAGTCGAATGGCATTCCTAGTTTTTTTTTCACAATTACTGTCAGAATATTTTTGTTTCTGTACGATATACCGGCTGATCAGAGCGTATTCTTAGCCAAGGTTTAGCACACGATGTATTCTTTCACATTTATGAAGTTAACGCCCGTCATCTGTATCATGTTTGGTGATCAGAATACTTGTTACCTAATATCCGTATACATACAAATAGCTAGTGTAGATTATCGGAATAACAGTTGAAGAGAGCATCTCAATAACTGTTATACGTCTCTCAACTGGAAGGTAGTTATTTTATGCACTCCATTTAAAAGTGAATATTGACTGCTTCTTGCTAACGATGTCGACCTATAAATCACCAATAATTCATTCAATCAGTGTTCGCTAACTATGTACTCGTCTCAATTTCTTTCATAGTTAGTTTTAAGACTTTGGAAAAGATGCAATATATCTTGACAGTACACCAGATATTTAGGTCTTCACTAAGGTGTATAGTTGACTTCAAGGTAGGACTGACACTAAATCTGATTGAAGTATGGTTCTGTCAGACGACTACTACTTATTGACACTGTTCTCAATGAAGACATGAGTTCCTACAAGGTTGCAGATACGCCTTGCTGATGAGTGCCAACTAGCACGAAACCTAGGTCCAAGGCTTCCCGCCGATTGCCTCCAACCATCTAATATCATCACAAATATGCTTTTTATGTTAGCAGTTGTTGTTATTATGTTTTCACTATCTTGAGAAATGTAAGTTGTTGTTTGAACTCAGTTACCTGTAACAGATCTTTTATACACCAGCCTAAGAGCTGCACTTATTGTTTGAAAGCCGATTTTGCTACTCAGTTGCCCAGGTTAAATTATTTGGAGTATTACTCACCCTCCATTATGGATAAGATTTTATTTTGATAAAGTCACACAGTGTCGTTTTACAGTAATATTAACTGATGACGTTTCGAGCACCAACTATCGCTCATAATCATATCAAGTTACTCACACAACTGTTTTCCTGCATTTATGTACATGAGTGAAATTGATGATTAGACATTTGAATAAAATTCAATATAGGATAATGTACATTCAGAAATAATAATGAGTGTAATTGATCAATTACAATCAGATGGGAAATAAGACGAGTGTTTTTATATTCATAACAAGTAACTTGTTAGACTGTTGTGATGTGCTTGAATTGGAATAAAATTTTGAGATTATTTATTATCCTGCTCTGATTTGACTGACTGGCGGTAATAATATCTTCCATATTTCTGGTATTTGCATTGAGTCATTTCTGTTGCATGTGTTGGGTGTAGACTCAATGAACCAGGATTCCGTGATCAATCTCTCTCTCCACCTACATAGATTACTTCTTAGAATCTTAACCCTCTCCCACCCTATTGTGTAGTAGAATGTACATTATCTCATATTGATTTTTATTCAAATATCTAATCAATTCCACACATGTATAGAAATGAAGGAAAAAAGTTGTAAGAGTAACTTGATATGATTATGAGCAATAGTTTGTGCTCGAAACGTGTGGTCATCAGTTAATATTACTGTATAACATTGTGTGATTTATCAAAATAAAATCTTATCTGTTATGGAGTTATACTCTACTGTACCACAGTGCCCAAGTTTTATACTTATATTACTCACCCTCATTACCCACTCTCTGAAAACTGAGTGCTTCAGCCTATGTGGCACATCTCTACCTTGATAGATGTAACCTAATATTCTAACTTGTCTTCGTATATCTGATTGTTAGTCGTGTTTAAATCGTTGTTAGTTTACCTCATATATTCTCTATTAGTTGTGTAGTGAGAATAAGCGTGAAGGTACTAACCAAAGGTAGTAGCGTTCTCAGCCTTTGAATTTTTATGTGCAGATACCTGATTTTTTCTATTCTTTCACGTTCCTAGGTGGAACATAGGGGGGCTTCAAGCTAGAGGCTTGAAGCTTCGATAGCAGTGGTGTTTATTTTTACGGGATGGAGTTGCTGGCCTCATGTGCCCGACCTTTCCTCTTAACCAGCTTTTTTATAGTTCTGGCTTAGCGAGGTAAAGGAATGCGTCGGTAGCTGGGGATCGAACCCTGGACCATGTGCATGGTTGACGAGCGTCCTAACTGCTGTGCCACCGATGCACTTCAGGTACCTGTTATATTATTATTATTATTGTTTCCTTTAATTCCTAAAGGAACATAAGGCTTCAGCCGTGCATCTCCATTGCGTTCGGTTCTCTGCTAGAGTCTTCACCTGGCTCCAAGTCTGCCCACACGTTTTCATCTCTTCACATGACCTCCTCCAAGTCACCCTTGCACTGACGACCAACTCGCCGCTTCCCTTTTGGCGGGTTCCACTCGAGCGATGGCCTAGCGTGTCATGTCATTTGATGGTTTCCTCAGAGTATGGCCAATCCATCTCCATTTCTTCCTGCTTATTTGTTTCACAATCGGTTCCTGGTTGGTTCGCTCATTGCCAGAGATCTCTGTTGCTGATCTTTTCTGGCCATCTGATCTTGAGTATTGAGCGAAGACAACTGTCAATGAAGGTCTGTAGTTTGTTTGAGATGCTCTTTATGACGCGCTGGCCAAGTCTCTGATCCGCATAGTAAGTAGCACTGACTTCACATTGGAGTTGAAAATCCGGATGTTATTTTTGATGCTGAGTGCTGTTGACCTCCACACAGACTTGAGAGTAGTGTG